TGATTTCGGCAATCTACTCCTTTCTCTACTTGCATCGCATCGTTTCATTCATGTGGTTTTACCAAATTATTAGGTCGCAGCTTGTAGCTTTAGCAATATTTACTTTATTTATTCATCTTTGTTTAGATCTAAATACAATTTTCAACGTATGAAAGTGGTTGGATTCAAGTAAGTTGTTATTTTATAACCAATAAATATCATAAATTAAATAATCACAATATAATGTTTTTTACATATTTATAATGATAATTTACAATTACAATATAGTGATCGTATTTATGTATGTATGTATATGTAGTATAAATTTATGTAAATATAAGGCAGCATCCGCCAGATGACAGTAGAACAAAAAGGTAAAAAATATAATTAAAAATTACCAGTTACACAGGCTTTTGTTGAAGAGATCTGAGCCTTGATTTTCGAATAAGAAAAAAAAAGAAAAAAACTACAAATGGTAGCCCAAATTTAACTACACCGTGTAGCAGTGAAAAAGAACTTTTTGAGTGGCCTAGTATAGGTCGAAGCTCAGGTTGCATAATTAACTTTCAGGAAGGCTTATGGGTCGATTATCGATAGCAATCGAGCTTCAGTTGCGTTGCTAGTTGCCAAAACGATATTATAGATGGCAACTGACAACTGCAGTTGCTACAAAGTGTGCAAGTGTGTGTGTGTGTGTGTGTGGTTGCTGGGAGGAATGTTTTTGCAGCGTATTTAGGAGCGAAAATTGAAAAGTGTGTCATATAAATAATAAATATTTTACTTTTTAATAATTTCAACGATATTAACATTTTTCAATGCAGTTCGCCTTTAACAGAATATTTTGAAAATAACAAAACAATAACTTGAAATTTTAGTTCCCGTGGAACGTACGCCCTTTGGCGAAACAAAAGCGAACACGGATTGCACATTTTTTCCTTTATTAACTGAAGCAACTCTTTTAAAACTACCGACACACCAAGTTTTCCAAATTGAAGTCATTGCTGTGGCACTTCCTTCTGCGAAAAATCGAAGAGGTGCGCAAACTTTTATGAGCGGAGGTATTGAAGTTGAACGAAGAGGTTCATCTGTTTATTAATCAATTATACTACAGCTCCTTTTGGAAGGAGGATTATCGATAACTCTACAGCAACCGGCGATAGTTGCCATTCGTAATAAAATTTTCTTTCGAGTTGCGTTGCCAGCTGCCAAGCGAACCGTGGTTGCGTTGCAATCCGTAATCGACGACCCATTAATTCAGAGTGAATTTCAACCCGTACCAATTTGAATTCAAAACGAGTTTTATAGAACTTCACCAGGAAGTGAATTGCGGAACCTGCCTGTTTGTTTATCTTTTTCAAACGCGCTGAAATTTTATCTTCATAAGACCAACATATTTTTACATGACTTCGCGAATTTTACAGTCTTTTAAATACAGTTTTGTAAATTATAGGCGTTTTTGGTCACTTAAAAAGTTCGTGAATTGTTTTTTTTTTGTTTGATTTTGTTCAACGTGTTATTGTTTTACCAGAACACATCACTTTTCTAGCGGAAAATATAATATACAAATAAAATATACATCTTCGTCAAACCTTTCGCCAAATCAATATAATTCCATTTTTACAAGACCAAATTAAGACTGATTGACTTATGTATGGATTTATAAAGAAAACGGATTTTCGTAGAGCCCGCTGTCATTTTGTATGTACCTTCGCGACCTACGACTCAATATGTTATTTTATTCCTGAATTAATCCGTGAAAGTTCCTGCCTACATATTTATGATTTAAGAAACAGTTCCGTATATGTACTACCCATCATTGTTTATAGCATATGTATATGTATGTATGTAGTATATGCGTGTTTTATGTATTTCAGTTTAAAAGCATCGGAAGAGAATAGCATCATTAAATCTGACTTTTATTATCTTTGTTATTGAATACCTTATCCATCAAATGCATAATTAATTTGCTTACTAAAGCATGGTTTACTCTCTTAAGGAATGTCACTGTTGGAACGAGTATTTTACTATAAAAAAAAAATAACTAACAATGTAATGGCCACATTTCTGCTTTGCGTAGAAATTATGTATACATATACCTATGTAAGTCTATTAATATTTAGGATAGGTAACTAAATTATAAAATCGTGAAATTCTTTAAAAGAATATATTCATTAATATATAGTAACAAATACATTTGTGTTTGTTCGTTTTACGTTGATTCATTTGAAACTTTGAATTTATATAGAATAGCTTCAACTACATAACTTCAAGATGGAATAGAAGCTTTGAATTTTTTGTTTTTATTTATCTACAATTAAATTAAGTCGCTTGCTATATTCATTTATTAATTCATTTGTCAGCAAAGATAAACAATAGTTTATATGCCTGTTGCTTGACCTAACCGCATGTGACACATGAATATAACTACATACATATGTATGTATAACGTTTTTTTCTTTAATTATAAACAGTTTGATAGATCTTCTTATGAATATACAAATTTACTGCTACATGTTTGATTTTTCCCTCAACCATCTAAGCCTGCGGATTATGCCCAAAAAGAGTCCAGAGAGTTGTTGGGTCAAAGTAACCGGTTCAAACCAATCGTGATCGTGATAGCTTACACCAGAATACATTTGCAGTTAATTTTAACCAAGTTTTACTGATGTCGAAAGAGCCAAAACCCCTGAACTTTTGTAGCGACCAATTTTTGCGAAATTTTGACTTGGACTCGCTGTATCTCAGGCGTTTTATTATCGCTTTATTTGAAGATTTTACACAATAAGCTAGATATTATTCTAAAGCAACTGAGTTTAACTACAGTTCTTAATACTTATTAAAAACAAAATGGCTGATTTTTAAACTTTTTTATAAAAATTATGGAGGTACTTTTTACAAATGCTAAAGGTGTGCTATAAAATTTGAAAATTTTGTTTTGTTTTAATGCAGCATTATAGATTATAGCATTATTATCTAAAGAAATTTTTTGTAAAGCTTCATGCTTTAAACAGCAAGTAGTTCCAAAGTTATAGTAATCAGCCTCATTGCGAGAGTCGTCTCGAATGCAAGTCGTTTTTCGACATTGCCAAAAATTTCGACTCGACTAGCGTATTAAAACCGAAAAACGTTGCAGCACTGCATAGTTTTCGACAATTTTCGTCGTTTACTTATTTCAGCACGACAGTAGACAATGTCAATGTGTTCGAGTCTTAAAATTTGGCCTAATTTACGACTTACGCAATGAGGCTGAATATTATGGTGACACCCACGAGCGGGCGCTCGCCTCTAGATCACAAATATTTTTACATAGAACTTGTACAAGTAATTTTGTTTTTAATAAGTATTAAGGACTGTAGAAGAACTCAGTTTCTTAAGAATAACATCTTATTTATTGTGTGTCTGAGATATAGCGAGTTTAAATGAAAATGTCGCGAAAATTGGCCGCTGTGAAAAATCAGGTTTTTTGGCTTTTTCGGCATAAAAGGATCAGTAAAAACTTGGTTAAAATTTACTGTAAATGGATTTCGGTGTAAGCTATAGATCACGATCGGTTTGAACCGCTTACTTTGACCCAACAACTTTTTTTTTATTTCTAGAGCACTTTTTGGGATTAATCCGCAGGCCTAATCATTTCAGCTTAACTGAAGTAGATTCTCACAACTTGCATTGACAATGGGAAAGTGTGTTTGTTTCTTGTTCGTAAGCTTGCTACGATTACTTAAGCTTGTTTCTTAGAAATTGACAACAATTTTAACATTTATTTTTTAAACATCTTAGATTAATTTAAGTGACTTGGAGCTGTTTAATTTGATCTTGGTGCGCAAATGCCGATTTTCAATTGAGTGCGTGATTAAGGTGCATTGTATGAATGTTTTAATAAGACATATGTATGTATCTTTTATTCTTACTTAATTATAAAAACTGCTAATTCGGAAATATACAATAATATATAACTTGTATATATATGTAGGTATGTGGGTATGTAATATTTAATATATGCAATATTCTTTAACTTAACTGAGATTAAACAATCTGGACAATTTTATTTAATTTTTAATTCTTTTGAATTGCGAATTACAGCGCCCATTTAATTTAGTGTTGAGTTGGTCGATTTTTATAGTAAATGAAGGTATAGTACACATCATAGTGTACAAAAAAAAGCTTATACATTTGTATGTATTCAGCGTTTATAGTTGTTCTTTCAAATTTTAGAATGAGTTGCAGTGTGGTTCAGGCCCAATTTTATTCTTAGTACAACCGGTAGTGCACCTTAGAGTTGGTGTACAGAAGATATACATAACTTTTAGATGAAATAGCAAAAAAAATAAAAAAGTGAGATGAATATTTGCGTTTGCTGAGTTCTATCAGGTGCTTAAAATATCGTAAAACTATGATAATGGAAACCCACGCTCAAGCGTTATAGACATTCTTTTGTTAATCACCGCTATCTTCCCATTTGCGTTCCTCCATTATTCGATCAAAACAATCAGCTAAAAACGAATGCTGAAATATTGAATGACAAAAGATTTCACTGTCGGTTATGGAAAAATATCTCGGACGCGTACTCACATATGGCGTGTAAACTTTCACCCAACGCGCCGGTTTGTCCGGGCGATTGTATTGAAAGCAGAATGACATTGACTCTTCATCGCTCTCCCAGCGAGTTATGCTTTCACATGTTAGTTCGACCATTTGCGACTCAAGTGAACCATCTTCACGGCATGCGAGCAAACGAAAACTTTTTATTCCTATAGAAAAAAGGTATTTAAATACATTTTTGTTTGTATCAAACACTAATGTATGGCAAAATTTAAAAACGAATGCGAGTTGGGTAAATGAATGCTTCATTAAATGATCTTCAAGAAGTTGTCATGTCACTATATAGTACGTCATTTGTAAATTTTTAAAAAGCATTCTCATTTACGTGTTGCAGTTACATATGTATGTATAGCTCAGTAATTTGGGGTCTCATTTCAACTAAAAAAAAAATCAATCACTCATTCCGGAAAATGGCCATTGTCATGTACTTACCAACGGCTGGCACTACATGTCCTTCTTTGCGACTATCACAGGTACAGTGCGGAAATACGACATCGCCATACCCGGGTAGCGTGCGCGCTAACGCCAAATATTCCGATGCTTTCTTTGCATCCTGTAAGGCTTTCAGTTCATAAAGACGGCCTTCAGCGCGTATATTTCCGCGATTCACTTCATCAACCGCCTGCGAAAGTAAAAAAAGTCAACTTTAAATTGTAGAATTTCAATATGTATTTAAATACCTGATAAAAAATAAATGTTGCTGCTTGTTCGCCATCAGGTAAGCCAAGCTCTCTACTCACTGAGAACAACCATCTACGCACACAGAGGCAAGTGCTGGAGGCGGTACTGTAGTTTTGGACATACAGTTGGTGTGGAATCTCGTGTGGCTGCAGCTTGCGTTCAAAATTATATTCAACAATTTCAAAGAGATAAAAATATTGTTGGGTGTACGACGTTAGGTTGGCTCGCTGAACCAGAAGTTCCCACACCACCTGCGCATTTGCAGACTTTCGCACTGAGACCGTAGATACTTCATGATCCGGCAGCATTACTTTTATGTCCACTGGCGAAGCGGATATATCGTCATCTGAGTCCGTGAGAAAATCTTGCACCGCATCGCTTTCGGCGATGACGCGTACGGCGCACACCTTCTCCAAGTATTGCTCAAGGCCTCGCCGGCGAGTGTCCAATTGCTGCTCGCTTAATTGGAATGGCCATTTTCCAGGCAGTTTAGGAAAATTAAAACCAGCAAATTCCTTTCTTAATATTGAGTGAAGATTGGCAAATTCGCGATAACGACGAGAACACAATTGACGGCCAGCCATATGTATATTGAAAACGATGTAACGCTCTCCATTGCGATTTACAATGCTGTAGTCTGGTATACTGGAAATGCCAAAATCGGTCAACGAAAAACACAATCGTGTAAATTTTTTATATACATAGATACCTAATAGGCAACGATCGTTTATCGGAATAATCAATATATGAGTAACCCGTCTGATCTTCCTGAGGTTCGAGTCTTTCCGCCTCCTTTGAGTCAAAATAATTAAATTTATAAATTATAATATAATATGTACAGTATGTAGCTTGAATACACATCTTACTTGCTGCGTTACCGAAATTACTGTCAGCGTGAGGCAATCCCCGCCAGACTTTATCAAATCTACGACTTGCTTGTGTGTAGCTCCTTCTACGGTAACACCATTTCTGGAAGACGAAACAAAAAAAGAAAAAGATTTTTCATTAAAATTCTATATATTTATAAATACTGTAACCTTTTTTTCCAAGTTTGAATTTTACTTGAAATTTCAGTATCAAATTTTGCATAAAAAAACCCAAACCTAAAATATCTAGACGCTACACTCGACATCGATCTGTCCAAAGACAAGTTAAATTGCACATGATTAAAAGGTAACATGACCAAAAAATTGCGAGAGGAATTGATGTGGTTGGCGCGTAATAGCTTGATCGATTAAACTCACTTGATTGGCAAAAGATAGTTTTGTTTGATAATAACAATTAAAAATAAACTTATCGTTTATGTACATATGTAAGTGAAAATGTGCTGCACTTGAAGAAATAAAATGTTTATCGAGCACTAACAAATATAAAATAGAGCAAGGACTTTTATGTTTTGAAAATCAATTTAAGTGGGCAGTCACCTACTTAACACAAAGCTTGAAATGCGAAAATAAATTATGTCAAGAGTAAGTTATGCGTTATCAAAAGCGCAAGCAAATTATGTGATAGGCAAACCAAGGTGGGATGTTCTTTGATAATCTATGCTATTTTCAACTCTCGCCCTGTATGTATGCTCTGCCAACAACGATCCTTCGTCTTTGCTAAGTGCTGCTAGGGCGGATTTAGAGACTTTGTTAAGGGTCTAATTGACGATTGCAGTTGCGTGCGCGGGCAAATAGAACAGGTTGTCAAAACAAATCGGATTGTTCATAGTCTACAGTGCACCTTTAGGCCCTTGTTAGCTACATATGTGATATTTGGTATTGTATTTAGAGTGCTTTAAGAGTTTTAAGAAAAATTTTTTCAAGTTCTCCCAACACACAAGAACGTTAAACTTACCCTGGCATTCAGTAAGCGGTCTCTAGTCACTACAAGTGACTTTTGGTGGTGAACTTGGATTTTGAGACTATTTGGTATTCAGTACGCTGTCTCACGTCTCTAGTCTCAAAAAAAGTCACTAATTTGTCAGCTGGCTAAGAGCAGCTCTCAAAAATAAAAATGTGGACAAAAAGTCAATTGCTTTCCATTTTATTAAAAAAAAAAAACGCGAATATCAAGCGAGGAAATTTGTTCAATAAGAATTTCGTTAGGAAATAAACCAAAATTCAATCAAGAAAAAGTGTATGCACAGAACAAAACCACTGGTTGAACGAAAGAATATAATCCGCTGAGACGTACCTAACTAAGAACCAACAACGATTTAGCACGGCTCTAAATAGTGACGGACAAACAGAAACTATTCAGAACGAAAAATGACACTAAAGATAGCACAACGCCGAAACCGGTTTGTCTCCAAACCAAATTTGACAAGGGATGACGGAATAGCGTTCCACATTACATCACACTCCTACCCTGTCGGAAACACCAACAACGAAAATGAGAATTCACGGGTAAAACTTTAAGTCGGTTTGAAGCCAATGATGTGAATAAAGGTATGGAAGCGATCAATTTACGAATATGTCCCATTTACGTCAAATCCAAAAAAGCACGGAGTTTATTTAAAACAAAATTAGTACAGATTTGCGAACTGTGAAAAAACATAAACTAAAGAGAGTTTAGTAGAGCTAGTTGACTACTCAAGTTTCTAGAGCGGGTGCTCAGACAAATTTTATCATTATCAAAGAAATTGTCTGTTATTTATTTATCTTTATTATTAGGTATTAAATCTATATATATAAAAATGAAATGTTTTCCGTATGATGACGATGCCTGACCAAATGGCTTAACCGATTCAATTCTGTAAAAAGCACTTTTTTGGAACTTCGATTTAAAAAATTCAAAACTTTTTGTTGTTGTTGTCAAAAATTTAAGAAATCAGAGACGTCACGATTTCACAATTTCATAGAGTTTTCCGTATATTGAATGTCATTAAACTACTAAACGGCTGGACCGATTTCGTTCATATTTGGAACGTATGTCAGTACCTTGAAGGAAAATATTCCGACTAAAAATGTAGTCGCTAGGCGGCACTGTGGTCCGGATATTTCTAAAACCTGCATTTAGGTGCAGATTTGGCTCACATTTGGAACATATGTTAGCCAATTGAAAATGAATATTGGACTAAAAAAATACACGATAGGAGGCCCTGGGTGGAGATATTCCTAAAATTTTGTTTACGCTGGGAGAAGGATAGATATCTAATATATATTTGTCTAAGTATGTATGTATGTATGTATGTGCCATGTTGAAGCCTAAACGGACGGACAGAATCGAACGAAATTCTGACAGAGTGTTTGTTGCCATTACACCCGGGCCTATAATAAGCAGAAAAAAAATTGGGATTCGATAAGGGGGTGTGGCACCTCCCATAGGCGTGAAATTTTTATCAGCAATAATTTCGGAACCATAAACCCCACGAGCTTGAAATTCAGTATATAGGCATTGCTCTGGTAGGTGCTTATAGTAGGCTATAAATAAATGAGTTTGTAAAAGGGGGGCGTGGCACATCCCATAGGCGTGAAAATTTATAGCAGCTATAACTTCGGAACCATAAACCCCACGAGATTGAAATTTGGTATGCAGACATATCTATGATATATATGTATATGAATGGGCTTATAAAAGAGGCGTGGCACATCCCGTAGGCATAGAATTTTTTATGAGCTATACCTTCGACACCATAAGTCACACGAACTTGAAATTTGGTATGCAGGCTTATCTATGGGAGGTGTTTAGAATAAAGTATATATAAATGTGTTTGTAAAAGGAGGATAAATATGTATTCAACTATTAGACCACTCGGATATTTAAAACTGGGTTTTTTTTTAACTTGAAAGAATAAATCATTTTATTTTTCTCGCGAGGCTGTTAAACGAAACAAGTGCATGTATAATGAATAAAACTACTTCTGAAATAAGTGTTCTACTGGAAAAGTGCAGCTATACTAAAACAGTTAAGCGAATACGAAGCTAAACGGAATCTACCATAGTAGACTAATTTTAATTTAAAAATTCTATCGTTACCTTAATCCCCCTTATATTAGTAATGGAACAAGATTTTTAGTACAGAAACTGATGATCAATATATAGTAGTTGAAGAAAAAAGTTTGCCTTCCCCAATTTGTGCTGAACTGAATATTTTGTATTACTTTGTTTGTTTTTGTTTGTTTGTTTGTTTTTATCAGTAAATGTGTTTTTTCTTCGTTAATAGGTTTTAGAATTATGTATTTTTTAGGTGTAAATTATGGCCGCCACAATTTATTTATGTAGGTGCTCAAAAGGTTTCCAAAAAACCGTAAAAATTATTAAAGATCGGTCAGAGAAGTCACGCATTTTTTTGATTTTTTCCGAAACCAATTAGCTCTTACAAAAATATTCTGGCAACACTGGTGTAAGCGCCAGTCTATTATTATTATTATTATTATATGAACATATCGCACACCGTCTTCAAAAGAGTCACAACTCAAAATAATACGTTTGGCATAAAATTCAAAAAACTATTTCTTAGCACATCATAATTATATGTTTTTTTTTAACAAATTATAACAAAAATTTGTTCAAGCTTTTGCGGAAAGGTAAATAAAAGCTTTGCATACATTTTTAGGACAGAGATAGTGAAGGTAATATTAAAATACAATCCTGTGCAAAATTTTAGTAAAATATCTTCAAAACTGGGGGAGTTTTTTATAAAATAGTTAAAATTTAAGCAAAGTTTCAAGCTATTTCGAAAAGTGGAGCCAATCGAGCAAAACTGGGGACGCCATTGAATTAAGAAGGCTCCAATAAATTAAGAGAAACCTTTGTCGAAAAAATGTTGATTCGATACCGGCGTCGAAATACATGGCAAAGGGAGTACTCTTTTATGCCTCAATTTGGGAGTTCTCCCTTCAGGTTCTAGTGGGAAATAATGTTTGTAGAATACAAGTTTTTAAAATGAAATGCTTAAAAAACTATACGCGATAAATCGAAAATTTCGAAAATTGTGAAAATTTAAGTTATAAACTTTGAGTTACTTGCCATTTAGTTATTTTTTAGGGCACACTTTACCTACCACAAATTAAGTGTACACATAAGTACTAAATTGCCCATAAAATTTCAACCAGTATATGGTGTGCTTCAAAAGTTATGACATAATTAATTTTTCACCTCCTAAAAATTACACAAAAAATTCACTTGTCTATACTAACTATATAAAGAGAAGTCCAAAGGCCAAAAAAATGTACTTTTTCCCGTAGGTGGACCAGGGACCTATCTATTCGAAAAAATCGTATTATGGTCCGATTTGCTTAAAATTTGGTACGTGGGTAGCTTTTTGCCTATATTAGCATAATTTTTTGTAAGTAATTAGGTAGGTTATTGCCTGGATTAACATATAGGACACTTTTTTTCTGATAGGTGGACCAGATACCGAGGTATTTGGAGACAAGTAGGGGTTATTGTGAAAGGGGGCGTGTCGCATTTCAAACATAAGGAAACTTTTGCCTATCTGTAAATACATATCGCTACCTTAATTCACAGAGGCCTAACCGACACTTTTTTCAAAACTGCGTTTTCACATATTAAAAAATATTAAAGTGTTAGTATCAAAAACAACGGAGCTACATGCCACATGCTACCTGTTTTTCATACTCATTTTATAATGTTTTTTGCTCTCCTGTAAAAAACTTTGTTGATTAGGGTCTTTGTGGATTACGATATATACGTGTGTTTGTGAGAGAACCCCTCCTAAATGCGCGAAACGATTTTAATGATTTTTGTGTATGGGTTTGAGCGGGTCCCTCTATAATTAAGGTTAACAACTTGAAACGCCAGGTGGCGCTGGAGTCGAGTTATTACTAAAAATCGTATTTATTTGGCTCGTATTCAAAATATATATTGGTAACGGTGGGGTCAATATGTACTATTGCACAAAGAGAGCTGCGAAGTGGCGCTGGAGTCGAGTTATTGGCAAAAATCCTCAAGTGAAGTCACTCGGAGACACCAAAGATCAAAGTTAAATTACCACCGTTCAATCAACCACCAGAATCATTGCGGTCCTAAACAGGATAAAGACTATACTTGATAAATGCCTACAAATATAATTGTAAGAACTCTCAGGTATTTCGTCTGAAATAAGTCTATGTATACGGGATTTCTGTGGACTAATGATACTCCCCCATTTTGAAATTTCCACCAACTGTACTATACAGATTCAAGGACGATTCACCATCGAATCAGATCATTGTTGTCACAAGAACTTCTTCATGGTCATAACTTTTTCATAAGGTTATTTAAGATGGCAATAGAAGATATGTCTTCTAACGACCACAAAACCAAACGTGAACGTGAATTGTTGGTGAAAACGTTGGACTAAATGTTTAAATAAAAAATTAATTTAGGGCTAGACTAATATTTTTTTTTTTTTTAAGAAAACATTTATAGCTCAGAAGTTATACAACAAAATCATTCCAAATTTGTTTGAGGCTTCAAGTATACGTCTATGAATTATATCCAAAAGCAATCAGCTTGATATAGTATACAGCAATGAAAATATAGCTAAATAACACAAAGGTTACCTGTTTTTTAGATTTGCCCATATATTAAATGTTCCTTTTTAATTGCATACTTATTTTTTCCTATTAAGGCTGTTCAGGATCTTGTGCATATGCTCTTGCACTTTGCATTTGTCAATTCACAACAATAAAATGACCGCGGTTAACATAGCAGCAAGCATAAAATTTACAAATGTAATAGGGAATTTACATGACTCAACTTTCACAGGCGATTAGTTGAACCAAAAGTTCAACGAAAGTAGGGAGCCGACCAACTTCGTTTTATGCGATTAGTTGAAAGGCTGTTTACACCAGGCGATTGTTGCTTTCAACTAAAAATCGCCTGAAAAATCGCCTCATGTAAATTCCCTATAATTCCAACTGCAAATCCAAGACCATTTCCGCAACATCCTGAGCAGCCCTATTGAGTTAGTTTTCATGACCTCTATACCACCACCACAACGGGGTTTAGCAAATTCACTTTAATTTTTTCCATTTTTCAGCTGTTCGGTTTGGTAGATAAGAGACAATACAACCTTGTGCAATGCTCTATGGCAAACAGTGTTGTCAGAAGTAAGATTTATCTTCAAAGGGCGTGTGTGAATCGGTAACGAAGTCCTATGGGGAAAGGTGTTGAATAATCAGCCTTACTGCGTACGCCGTAGATTAGACTAAAATGCACGACTCGACAACATTGACATTGCATATTGTAGTGCTGAAATAAGTAGACGACAAAAATTGTCGAAAAATATCCATATCAAAGTTTTCCCATTTTAATTTACTAGTTGAATCGAATTTTTAGGCAATGCCATGCACTTTTCGATGAGGCTGAATATCTTTACTATGGTGAGACAGTTTCGCCAATCTGCTGTGTGAAATGAAATATTTTTTGACAGCAGTAATATTTTGATAACCGCAGATTAATGCGAAATAAAATATTACAAATTGAAGTTACATTAATATTTTAAGAAAACATCTATCATCGTTGATTGCAATTCATCAATTTAAGCTTTTATTTAAAGAAAAATTACACACATCAACAATCTTTGCGAGTATCACAATTTTCTATACATTTGTCAAAAATTTCACTAGCCTCATGAGCTACTGAAATTTTATTCACCCCATAGTTTTACAAAATTTACTCTCCGCGAACATGTAATTTTTAAGCAAAAAACAGAACCAACTTCAATTCTCATATCAATATTTTGGTGTACCGTTAATTTGTTCCTGATCCAATTATCGGATCTAAACGAAATTAGTATGGGACCACCCTTCCGATGAAAAAAAGAATTATCGAAATCGGTTGAAGTGGTCCAAAGTTATGCGGTACCATATGTACATAAAAAAATATTAGCTGATAACCTTCTCCTTTTATTAAGTCAGTTAAAAATGTAAGTAAACTGAATTCATGAACTTGTTAGTTTTTTTTTTAATAAAATGTGTTATGGTTTTGTATAATAAAACAAATTAAGTATTTTGTTGCCATACAATTTTAAAATAAAAATATTTCTAGAGAAACTTTTTTTTTCCAACGTTCTGTCACCTTTTTATAGTTTTTTGAAGATTTTATCGTCACTTGGACGATTTTTAACAATATTTTTTCTGGCCATACTGATGGCAAGTGATTAGTTAAATAAACTATCGAATTCCAATACACAAAGGGGCGTACTAAACAGGTTGCTGGGATTGCACCCATCTATGCTTTCATACCATGAGTTCACGAAAGTAATAATATAAGAAAAATAAATCAACAATTAGCCTATACTGTCACAAATAAGACGCGAAAATATCTACATATATGATATACATATACATACATATTATATAGTGAATATTAGTACTTACACCTCTAGTATGCGATCCCCTTTTTTTATTCCTGCCTTCTCTGCGGCGCCGTTTTCGAGCACGGCACTTACGTGTTGCAAGGGGGCATATAACTCTCCGTTTATTGAACGAAGTTGCCCACCCTCAGAAACTTGTCCACGCACATTGAAACCAAAGCCTAAAATTGAAAGAAAAAATCAATAAAATTACTCTAGGTACTTTTGCCGTGCGCTTTTAAAGAATGGCATAGGAAGCATAGATCTTAAAAATTTTTCGCAAATAATTATTATTCCAGTATTACAGAATTATCTGACGTTATAGTATTTGGACAGTCCAGAAATTTCAATCACAAATACCTGTTTCCGTTTTATATATATGAACCACTCGCGGACCGCTTGGCGCTGTAGAGTCACTACCAACTCCACCGCCGCTCATATTAAATCCTTTAATTCAATTATACAATTTTTTATTTGTTGTAGTTATATGTAATAAAACGACTCGTATCTTCCTGCTTAGTGATGCACTTTTAAAGTTTATTAAATTTGCGTAACTTCGGTTTTCATCAGTTCTATGGCCACGTCCTTTTTTGTTGGCTAATGAGGTACAACGTAAATCATTTCAATGTTAAATTGTACAGTGTAGAAATCGTTTTCAGACAATTTTTGTAGATAAGATTTAAAAACACTCCTCACAGGTTTCAATTGCAGAAAAAATTACTTTCCTTTGCTATGAGGACCGAATGAAAATATGAGAAAAAAATGAATACGAGCACTTCCTTCTGTGGCTGCCACCTGAGAATACATCGTCATGCATGCCGGCCATTCGTGTGAAATCCAAATAAAGATAGGAAATTTGCTGGAAAAATATTTGCGGACAAAAGACTTTAATCTACATTAATAAATAAAAACTCTTCGGAATGCCTCACAGCCCGCCTAAATGCCATTGCAAACAGGCACGGTACGGCACCGGACGGTATAATCCCGCACGATACGCGGTAACGATATACGCAAAGGCACTCAGCAGGAAACCGTGCGAAGAGCGATGAGGACAAAAGACGTCAACGCAATCGTCCTTCAAAATTTATATTTGTTAATATAAATAATTTTAATGACGCTCTCATATGCCGCCATTGTATTTGATACCGCATATCGTACGGGATTATACCGCATTGTACCGTACCGCGCCTCTTTTGCAGGCCTTAACGCGAAGATTCCAACGAATTACTCACCCAGAAAACATGATATATTTTACTAACG